TGTGTGTGTGTGTGTACATGCTGTGCAGATCTTGACATTGCATGTGCAAACAACATTAAACCTCACAGCAGTTGCACATACTTTATACCTTACACTGTATGTCATCAAAAACAACAAATAAAACCAGTCCTGCCTCTAACTCACTTCAGAGGATAAAKCTGCACCAGCAGAACATCTCCTATGGAGACATATAAACCTTCAGCTATATAATATGCAGCAACTACAGCCCATATTCTGTGCATGTTGGTGTGAGAGAGCCATCCGTTCAGTAATGACAGTGCTGCRAAGCCTTCCAGCAGGGATTACCACACCGTGCGCTCTGGCTCACCCACGGAGCAGGGTAATGAAGGCAGGATGCAGAGCCTGGAGGTGCAGGCTGCAGGTTGRGCTTTTCACCAGAGTCTTCGTGGCAGATGACGACTCAGGACGTGACTGTATCGCTGAAGATTAAAACTGCCAGAGAGAAGAGAAGGGGAGGGAGTGTGAARAGTCGCATGCACTTCTTTATCTGACTAAACAATGCAAAAACACAAAACAAGTTGTTTTTAGAAGTTTGTTCTTTTTAGTTCTTGTTGGGGGTTTTGTTACCTTGCCCAAACCTATGTATTTGTTAAATCTGAACGTTTTTTAAAGCTTTTAATGTGACCCAAAAGCTTTAGCTTTATTTGTTAATTTTGTAGAAGTGCATTATAGAGCTTCTTTTAACTCAGGGATGAGCCTCCTACATGATGGAAGGAGCCACAATTTTGTGTCGACACAACCAGAGGGCCACATAGCGCTACACACTATGTAATAAAACTGCCATTTTAAAAAGGCTTGTTTATATGTTTATTAAACGAACATACAGTGCAGTAACGTGACATTTCCTGCTCAAATGCCTGCACAGTTGCACTTTTGTTCAATAAACAGGAAGACAAAACATTTGAAGCAAACAAAAGGTAAACACGTGCACAAGCGAGCTGACATTCATTAAAGAAGATATAAGATATATTGTTTATAAGATATATTGATATAAGTTATGTTGTTTATAAGATATATTGATATAAGATATATTGTTTATAAGATGTAATGTTATAAGATATATTGTTTATGTATCTGAGACTTCAGGAAACTTGTCATATTTAGCTTTGTGCACCAGATTGTAGTGGCGACTTCATTAAAAACATCTCAAAGGCATCTCAAAGCAGACTAAACACCTTGAAATTCTGTGAACGCAGTCTACCTCTCAAATAATAATAATAATAAAACATTTATAATTATTTAAATAATAAATAAATAAATAAAAAATGGGGTACTCATTGGTGGGCAGGATGTGGCCCACWGGCCGCCAGTTGCCCATCCCCACTGTAAGTACAGTATAAGTCCCTTCATAATGTAGCATGGTTCCTGGTTTTATGCATTGATTTCATTTTTTCCCCCCTGTGAAGATTCTTTTCAAACACTTCTAAATAACTGCAGTATGGAATATTGGGCCTCATGCAGGAAGTATTCTTATCCTAAATTTCTCTTACTTTTGTTCGTACAAAGGGTTCGTACGAACATGTCACGTCAGATTCAACAAACTCTTCTATCTTC